GCGTCTCCACGGCCAGAAGCTCAAAACCCACGATCAAGAACGGCGGCCGAGATTCACCAGGATTTATGGGGGCACACCACCATACTTCACGATCCCAAATGTCGATTGGACTGCCCACTTGCTTTAATCAAGCTCCACTATGCGGATTTTCAGCCTCGATTACTCCTCTAGGAACCCCTCCTATAAATACCAGGCTCAAGCTACATTCAAAAGGTTCAACACCAAAAACAAAGCCTCCCACGGAGCAAATTATCTTTTCCTGTAATGCACTTTCAATATCTTTACTTGCTTTCCTAGGAGTAGTGTTAGATTGTAAGGAAAATTCATTCATCAATATATTATACGACCCTTGGTTTTCAAGGCGCCAGAGCACCATCCTTGTTGTTCGTTCACTCACCCCATATATCACACGACCGTCGCTCCCTGAGCAGCGCGCCGGAGCACCGCCCAAAACCCACCACCAACACCATCACTCAACGGCCTTGTAGTTCAGGCCGTGAACCTAACGGCCGAGACCAGTTCCTCTCTCGGCTACAATCGTTTGATTAGAAGATGAGTTCAAACAGGCGCACCACTTACCCATCCAATACTCATCAACAAACGCACCGCACCCAAAAGCAGGAAACCGCGTGTCAACGCACGTCCCCTCGGCCCGGAACCCCAGGCCGTGAGATTTGCGCGGCAGACAAAGGTAATATGCGGATTTCAATGGAGGATATATTATGGGGATTTCAATGGAGGTACATGACACATCATTTTCAACTTTATCTATTGGCTAGGTATTAGGTCAATAGGTAATATGCGGAGTATATAGGTGCATCAAAGAGATATTTTACGGGTTTGCTAGGTACGGAGTTGAATATATCTTACCTGGATATTAGGTATTTTACGAATATGAAAAATGATGAGAAACAATTAAAACAACTTGATTAAATTCAAATAATAAAGAGTTATTTACATTAACACTCCCTGAGGTTTTTGGCTTTTTCACAAAATTTTTTGAGGTTTTAAAGATTACACGAACACCCCTTGAGGTTTTAAATTGTTTTCACAAAACTCCTTTTCATTGATTTTTCATCCAAAAATTGATAATTTTATTTAAAAAAATATGGGGAAGTATGATCATTTTCTAACATGTGTTTATTCCTACATTATGAATTATTCTTCCCGCATGTGTGATTTAATATTATGCGTGATTTACTTTAGAGAAATGATTTTGTCCATAAACACGTAATGAAATATTTCTTAAAGCACGGAATCAACATATTTTGCCCCGTTGAGCTTGAGCATTTTCATTCAATCATTCATGTATGATTTAAAACAAACTAAAAGCTTACAAATATTACCCTCTTTCGAGTCTCGATTAGGGGTGGACATATGGGTCGAAGAATCGGATAATCGAACCAAATCGCATTGAAAAAAACTGTGTATCGATCGAAAAGTCAAACCCAGTTCCCATTCTCCACAAAAAAAAGAAAAAAAAAGAAAAAAAGAAAAAAAAGAAAAACTGGACCGGTTCGGCCCAGTCAATTTAAAATAATATTAATTTATTTACATGTTACAAATGGGTCTATGTAAGTGGAGGTTCCACAGAGTTACAATGGGACATGTCGCACTTGATTTCAACCATAAGTGTTAACAACGTTTCCTCTCACCGCGCCTCCAATTCGACTCGATACACTTGTGGGGCTATCCATGAGTGCTCTGTTTGAACAATACGAAATCTGATAAGAAAGATATTAGAAAAGCTCAAAACATAAATCAACGCATGCAGAGTTTGCAAGCAATATTAGATTATAAGTATGCAAATAGTATGCAGATTACACAAATACAGAAATCCAGCAACCCCCTTCAATCCAGAAACCCCCGAAAACCCAGAAGTCAGATAAGGACCCAAACGAAACTGAAAACTGAAAAAGGGTAAGGTTATGCATTTGATGTTGTGGTTTGCCTTTTTATTTTTTGGTGGTTATTATTTTCAAAACCCTTAATTAATTCAAATCACTTTATTTTTATTGTTTATTTCAACCAATTTCCTCATTCAAATTTATTTCCTCATAATTTAATTATTTTGTTTCTTTTTCGGACCGGGATGTTACAGATTTCATCTATTATTTTGATGAAACTTATTAATTGAATTTGATTGCAGACCAAATTGAAATGACAAGAAATAAAATGAAAAGTTAGTCAAATTACGGAGATCAAACATATAATTTAGTATTTCTTTAGGGGCTCATTCTTCATTTTCTACGTTCTTAATTATTTTTGTCAAGTTTTAATTAAGTCAAAATTCAAGGATCGGTTGACGGTCCCTATAAAGTTTCACCTAAATAGGAAATTGTTTAGGCATTTTCTTTTTTTTTTGGTTACATCATTGTTTCTCTTTTTAGTATAGAGTTTTGTGAACTGCAGGATGTTAATTTGGTTACCGAGAAAAATTTGGAAAATCCAGGGTTAATTTTGTTTCTGTATTTTAAGCATTTTGAAATGAAGAGAAAAGAAATAGGAGATATAGGGATGAAGGGATGCGGCGAAGAGAGTTGCATTGGGTTAGGGTGCAGGTGATTGAATTGCACCCAATGTACTCTTTGCTCTTTTGCAATTAGCAGCAACTATTGTAGGTATATTCATGTGAGGCTTTGGAAAGCTTCAATTTCATTTCATCCAATGTACTCTGTGCTCAATTAATGATTAAAATCATTTTATTACATTATGAATGCAGAAAATCCAAATACACCTTTATTTGCATTAATTAGCATAACCACCACAAAGAGTACAACTAGAAAGACAGAGCAAGGTTACGTGAATGAAAGAAAAACAAGAAAGCAACTCCAAATGCATGACCTTATAACAAACTATACTTCTACATCCCCCACTCGACCCACAGGACAACTCCAAAGATAGAGCACGGTTACATGGAAGGAGAAGGAAGAAAAAACAAGAAAAAACGTACTACTCCAAAATGCATGACTTTATAACAAACTATACTTCTACATCCCCCACTCTACCCTTTCCGTATCATTAGCCTCACCATTCCAACAATCTTAAGAAACAACTCCTGCCTTCTTGTGATGGCGACATCCGCGAGAACCACTCCCACTACAAACCCACTTCCAATTCCAGCCAAACAAAATTTCAAATCAAATTCAAGCGTTCGAGCTGAGCCTGAATCACTGTCTTCTTCAGTTGAAGGTGGCGGTTGAGGGGCCTCTTGATTTCCGCATTTCTTTGGTAATGGATCTCCACACAATCCTGGGTTTCCCTCATATGAAGTGCTATTGAATGAAGTAAGTTGGGTACCTTGCGGTATAGGACCTGTGAGATTGTTGTGAGACACATCAAAGCTCCCAAGGAATGTAAGCTTAGTCAGCTGTTGGGGGATCAGTCCTGAGAGCTTGTTTCGTGAAAGGTCCAACGATTCAAGATTCCTTAAGTTCCCCAAGGATGATGGAATAGAACCAGTGAGAATGTTGCTGGAAATATTGAGTGAGCGAAGCTCTTTAAGGTTCCCAGTGAATTCTGGAATCTTACCTTCAAATTTGTTGTTTGAGATATCAATGGCTGCAAACCCTTCTCGAACCCTTGAATAGAACAAATCCAAACCTTTAATTGCTAATGTGATTGAGTAATCAACACTCCGCCCAACATAAAAACCATTGAAGTCATAGGCTACTTCTGTATACATGTATGTTGCCTTCAAATTTGTTGTTTGAGATATCAATGGCTGCAAACCCTTCTCGAACCTTTGAATAGTACAAATCCAAACCTTTAATTGCTAATGTGATTGAGTAAGCAACACTCCGCCAAACTTCAAAACCATTGACTTTATAGCCTACGTCTGCGTACATGTATGTTGACTTGTTTACAGTAATATTTGGAAACAAAGCTGGAATCTCACCTGTGAAATTGTTGAAAGACAAATCAAGAATGCGTAACTTGGAGAAGTCAACATTTGTTCTAGACTGTCCTATAACACCGTTGAAGTGATTATGGGGCATTGCCAAAAGTTTTAACTCTGGAAGAGTCCCCAACCAAATGGGAAAAATATCTCTGAATTGATTGTTTGACAGAACCAGATACTCAAGCATCACACAATTCGCCAATGACCACGGTAATTGCCCCTGCAATTGGTTATGACTAACATCAATCATCCTCAAACTGCTTCTGTTGTTGTATGATTGAGGCATCATGCCATGAAAAGAGTTGCTTCCAAGAAGTAAAAGGATTAGACCATCACTAAAGTTTCCAAGACAATGAGGAAGCATGCCACTCAAGTTATTTTTCGACAAGGTACTGAAGAGAACTCATATTGCAAAGCAATGGTGAAATTTCTCCAGTAAAATTGTTGTTGGTAGCTCCATATTCTTGCAGGGATGGTGGAGGGATTGGTAATTGTCCATGAAAAGTGTTGAACGAAAGCCTCAAGCCTATTAGGTTAACCCAGGGTATGACAGTTGGAAGTTCTCCTGAAAAGAAGTTTTCAGAAATGTCCAAGAACATGAGAGTTTCCTTGCTTATGTTCCACACCCAGTTTGGTACTTCGCCATGGATTTTGTTTCCTGCCATTTCCAACCGCTCCAAATTTTTCTGATATCTTAGGAAAGATGGAAACTCTCTTAAGTTGCATAAATTCAAACCCAGAATAGTAAACTGTGGAAGAGTTGCATTCGTAATATTGGATTCGGTAACAAATTCCAAATTGTTCGAATTAAATTTTAGTTGGTATAGATTTTGTAGTTTCTGAAACATTTGAAACTCCACTACACCACTCAGGTTATTTGAATGTAGATAAAGGATCTCGAGGTTCATGAGATTGGAAAATGAGGAAGGAATTGAACCATTCAACCGATTAAAAGCAAAATCTAGGTAAACTAGTTTGCTAAAGTTACCTAGCCAAGATGGAATTGGACCAGTTAAAGAACTTGTACTAACTCTAAACACAGTCAATTGGGTAAGGTTTGCCAAAGAATCAGGAATTGGACCTCCAAATGGGCTTTTTGAAATGTCTAGGTAAGTGAGCTGTCTAAGATTGCCAAGTGCAGAAGGAACCAACGAGTTTGAAAAATTGCATTGAACGACATCCAACTCTTGCAATGAATTAAGCTTTTCAATCGAAGAAGGTATTGTTCCGAAAAACATAGTAAACCCAACTCTCAGTGAGATGAGAGGACTACTTCGATTAAATTCGGGCAAATATCCAGTGAGATTATAGTTGTATCTCACACTAAGAACTTCTAAGTTCTGTAGACTGAAAATTTTCATTGGAAATTCGCCAAACAGATCACATTCCCTGAGGGCAAGGGATGTTAAATATGATAAATTTGTCACGGAAACGGGTATGATTGATGATATGTTAATATAACTGAGATAAAGAGTTTCTAGACTAGTTAAATTTTGAACCAAACTTCTCATATCGGATGGTTGAAGTTTCAACAATTGATCAGGATGACCAGGAGCTCCATTTTCAAGAACATTACAACACAGATTAAGGTATGTCAACTTGGACAAGTATGAGACTTCAGATGGGACTTGACCAGAAAAGAAAGACCAAGAGAGGTCAAGATGAGTGAGGCTTGGGAAATTTCTTATGCTAGATGGAATTTGAGAGTGATTGAAGTTATTGTGAGAGAGGATTAACCTTTGAAGATGCACCAGGCTGAATAGGCTACTATTAGAGTCGAAAGAGCCATAGAGATAACTGCTGCTGAGATTAAGGCTAATAACATGACCCGTCATCTCGTCACACTCCACACCGTCCCACAAGCAGCAGCTGCTATTTCCTCCTCCAGCTGGTTTCCATGATGAAACCTTTGGATAAGCACCGTCATTCCTTGAAGCAGATTTGTCAATCATAAAGCTCTCCTTGAACTGCAGCAAGGCAGAGCTCTCCTCGGCGTGGCAAGATAGCTGCTGCAAAGAGTCTACAAAGTTTGCAACCACAAGATGAAACAACAACAGAACTAGTAGTTTCGAGTGCATGCGAATCGACAGGTGAATCCCCATAATGTTTTGATATTTTTTGTTTGCACTCTCTGCTAAAGAATCATCTATGAAAGCTAAAGCTAGAGAGCTATCTATTTATAGACTGGCATGATCAAATGGTTGAGCAATAGCATACACGTGTAAAGTAACTATTTAATATTATTTGACATTTTGATCAATAGAAATAATGGGATAATACACGAACTGATTAATAATATCAGGTGTCTATTTATGGCAAGAGGTGACTAAAGTCAACAACTCACGAACTGATTAATAAAAAAGTGTAAATGCAAAGAAATAATCAACACAGAAAATTCTATATTCGGCACCTTAATTACTTTGTATTTGTATTTTTTTTTAATCTTATTAATAAAATACTATGGCTCTTTGATGTAATTAATATTAAGGTTTAATGACATTTTACTACATCTGTAAAATTGGTGATGTGGGAATTAGAAGAGCGGTCTCTGCTCTGTATATCTTCAACTTGGATTCAGCACCACCCAGCCTGACAGAACCCACCCCGAATTGCTCGAAACTCGAGACGAATCCTGTGGAAATTCCGACATCACACCGATGTCGGGCCCACTAACTAAAAATTTAGCCTATTTTCCAAATTATGGGAAAAGGACACGAGACTTTCTACCGAAATTTCGGCAGAGTCTCCCCTATAAATTAAACATTCCCCAAAGATTTCAACCTGCAAAAAAACACATTTAACAATACCAACCGGCAGCATGCACAATATAATCTCATGCAAATCATCTATTTGGCCTCCGGCCTTCCAATGGTTCGAAACAAAACCAGAAAAGTTCTTAAGTCGAACAATGCATAAACCAAACATTTAATGATCTCAATAAATCGGACTCAAATCCAATAATCCCCATCAAAATCCAATCACGCACACAGAATCAATCAAACCTTTTACACACAATAAAATTCGCGGCTACACCTAGGTGAGATCCCAGGCTGCCTACGTACCCTTGGACAAGCGATCAAGCCACACGTAGTTCTCATCTCAACGGTCACAACTCCGATAATAGACAATTATTTACAACCGAACCACTATACATTTCAGATCTATCACAATTCTAAATCCGATAAAAACACATTGAAACATTATAACTTCCTTCCCAAGGCATCATATTAAGAAGACATCCGAAGGGCCTGGACAAACTCTGACGGGCCTGGGCAAAACAAATCTCCGAAGGGCCTGGGCAAACTCCGACGGGCCTGGGTAAAATAAATAAATCAATCTCTGAAGGGCTTGGGCAAACTCCGACGGGCCTGGGCAAAATAAATCAATAAATCTCCGAAGGGCCTGGGCAAACTCCGACGGGCCTGGGTAAAATAAATAAATCAATCTCTGAAGGGCTTGGGCAAACTCCGACGGGCCTGGGCAAAATAAATCAATAAATCTCCGAAGGGCCTGGGCAAACTCCGACGGGCCTGGGTAAAATAAATAAATCAATCTCTGAAGGGCTTGGGCAAACTCCGACGGGCCTGGGCAAAATAAATCAATAAATCTCCGAAGGGCCTGGGCAAACTCCGACGGGCCTGGGTAAAATAAATAAATCAATCTCTGAAGGGCTTGGGCAAACTCCGACGGGCCTGGGCAAAATAAATCAATAAATCTCCGAAGGGCCTGGGCAAACTCCGACGGGCCTGGGTAAAATAAATAAATCAATCTCTGAAGGGCTTGGGCAAACTCCGACGGGCCTGGGCAAAATAAATCAATAAATCTCCGAAGGGCCTGGGCAAACTCCGACGGGCCTGGGCAAAATAAATAAATAAATCTCCGAAGGGCCTGGGCAAACTCCGACGGGCATGGGCAAAATAAATCAATCAACGAAGGGCCTGGACAAACTCCGACGGGCCTAGGCAAAATAAACTCTCTGAAGGGCCTGGGCAAACTCCGACAGGCCTGGGCAAAATAAATAAATCTCCGAAGGGCCTGGACAAACTCCGACGGGCCGGTTTTACGATCCGAAAGTTCCTAAGGATTCCACAATGTCTAGGATGCACGTCCTGCAAGTTTGGTTCAGATCGGACGGTCAGATAGCTCGCGATCGCACAATCGAACGGGTATCGTAAAACACAAGCTTTAAGTTATTGAATCGGAACATCTGGGGCTTCGATTCAAGATCCGCGAATTCCTACACGATCCTAGGAATGCCTAGATCAACATATATTAAATGGGAAGCGATCCAACGGTTCTAACATATTGAACCCGGAATTCACACAATATGTAAAATCCGTTCGGGGTTCAAACGTTATCCAATTTGAGATCCGCGAATTCCTACGCGCTCGTGACAACTAGGAGATCGCATTGGGACAAAATGCCCCTCTGATACAGTGTCCACGCGCCGCCACACACGCTGGCAGCGCGTGGGTGTCCAAAGCGATACCGCATCGCCGGAAAATCTCATAATCTCGGGCCAAGACTCCTACCCTAGGTAATACCCCTAATTTGGAGTCACTTTTGTTCTTGGGCATACCCCAAAAAGTGACCGTAAGTGGCTGAAAACGGAGGTCGAAACCGGCAGATTTTTCAATCGCTTAATTAACTACCAAAACGCAGAAATTTCTCAAACCTAACCCAACAAGCAGCTAGATCACGTCAAGAGGTTAGAAAAACATACCAAGATCGCAAGTTTTGGTGCCCGGAATCACCCAAACGAGCTCCGTGAATTTTGGGTTAAAACCGATCGGATTTTTGCATTTTCCGGCGATCACAGGTGGTTCCAGCGGCTGAGATCGGTCAAGATGGAAAGAGGGAGGTGGCCCGGTTCTTTTGGGACTGGTGTCACCCCAAGTGGTGGCCGGATGCGACGGTGGTGGCCCAAAAACCCCGGCGGTGAACAGTAACAGGGGGGGTTTGTCTTCTGCGCGAAGGGG